TGACTTAGTATTTGTAGAGCCATCTATATGTAAAAACAACTTTGTCTGTCTATCTGTATTTGTTTATTTATCTGCTTCTTTTTTCTCTCAGCTACTCTATCTTTCTGTTAGTTTGTCTTTTTTTATCTATGTATGCTATGCGTGTTTGCTCGGTTGCTGATCTACCTTACTATCTTTTCTTTTCCTTTTTTTACATATTTCCCTCTATTGTGAAACTGCCAGCTCATCTCTTCTCTCTACATAGTTTGTCAATCAGAGTCTGTCCTTTTTATCTGTCTATCTATTGATTTGTTTGTCGATTTATTCATGTGTGTCTGTCTGGTCATCCAATTGTGAGTCTATGTCTGTCTGTCTGTTCCTCACACTAATTCACCCATTCATCTCTCAATTCATGATCTTAGTTCCTTCATACTTTTTCTACTGCCATGAGTATTTCAATTACAACAGGCCAGGTATTAAGTCTGGGGTTCCTATATAACTGTTAGCGAGGTTGATGCACCCTCCCATGACTAAGTCCCAAAACCAAAGTATCATGCGAATCCAAAAACCCAACCTAACCTTTCCTACCTTCTATTTATTCCCTAGAGAGAGGGGCAAACCCCCTATACCCCCAACCAATTTATTAGCACTTTGTGCCACCTTATAGAAAACTGACATCAAGAACTCTGGCTGGGTGAGGGTGTTGTGGACTTAGTCTCTGAGCTGTGCTGTGCAGTGGACATTTTCATAATATATCTGCAAATATGAGCCCACTGCAGACAGACAGGGACAGAACCGAAGGCAAAGGGAAGACAGCGACGTAAAGACAGACAGACCAGAAACACAGAGCCATAGAGTGAGAGAGAAAATGCCTCTTCTCCATCCCATTTCAATCTGTTAGCTCATAAATCCACATATTTTCATTTAGCTGAATAAACCTCCAACGTTGCAAGGTCAATGAACCTGTCAGTAAGTCAGCAAGTACTGTTCAGTCGAAGCCAAGTCCCTCTCACTACATTCCGACTGTCTTCTATCTTTAACAAGCCCAAGAGGCAACAGTAGTAGACATTTTGGAGGAGCATTTCTAGTAATAATAATTTCCGACAAATTACAATCCGTCTCCTGTGGTGAATGACCATCCTTCGCATTCACTCTCACATATCTACTTACACTCAACAGCTGTCGTAAAATCCTTGAGGGCAACATGGTCCGAGATCTTCTAAGAGAACAGACGTACTTTCACCAAGACGGTCTGAGCGACACTGACACTTGCGTCAATTTGCAGACGATAACAGCAGCTGTGAGAATATCGTATACATTGCACCTGATTATCGTTTCCAACAGACCCTAGAAAATGAAATGTTATAGAATACTTCAAGCTCATAAGACAGTCACATTCATTGGGGTTTGGTTATGATATATTGAAATGGAAGCTGTAAAACACAGTTTTTTTTATATACAACATCTATCAAGATTAGTAGAATGGCAACAATAGCACACATTTTCAATGACCAAGACAATGGACAGATTTTACGGACACACAATGACAAAATCGTACTGTTTTTTAAATAGAAGAAAAAAATGATTTGGCTTTGTTATCGTACCCTAGGCACCGATGTTTCATAAGATGCCAAAGTTGCCAAGTGTTATTTACGAATTATTTGCATAACCCCCAAAAAGTACTGTAACTTCGTCTTGCAGAATGGACAAAATATATATGTAATTGAAAATAAGATATATGTAGACCCCTTTTCCGATATAATTCGTGATTGTTACATTTCTCTATTTCATCGACATGTGGACGGAAAGTTCCGGTGACGTGCTGCAAAAAATATAAAAAATAGACAAATATATACATATTCCGGTATTTGATGTATATATATATATATATATATATATATATATATATATATATATGTATATTATATATACACTATTACGATAACCAAATCTAATGTTAGTAAAACTAACTGGCATATAATGAATGGTTATATAATAACTAATAATGATTGCTCATAATAACACTAATAATTATTTTAACAATTATGTTAATAATAGAAATGATAACAATGAAAACAATCTTCATCATCACCACCATCATTATGATAATAGTAATATGATGATAATAATGAAAATAAAGATAATAGTAATGATGACAATAATGATATCTATATGATGGTGATAATAATAATTATTATATTATAATATCACAGTTATCATTACCATTTTTATTATCATTACCATTATTATATCATTATGCTTATCTTTATAATCATAATAATAAAAAAGCATAACAATGATGATGATGATAATAATAATAATAATAATATTAATAATAATAATAATAATAATAATAATAATAATAATAATAATAATGATAATAATAATAATAACAACAACAATAATGGTAATAATAATAATAATAGCAATAATAATATATGATACTAATAATGATTAATAAAAATGCTAAAATAATGATAATAAGGATTCCAATAAAATGAATAGTTATACTAGTAATGGA